TTTGGTTCACCCTATCTTGGAGAAGTATTTCAAACCTCAAAACAAAGGTTTCTGTTCTGACCTAGGCTTCCCAAGATCACGAAGCAGACTCCTCATCCTGATGAAGCCCCTTTGATTGAGGTTAAAGTGAATTCCCCTCCAGCAAAGTCCCAGATTTCACAACTACAGACCTTGATCAGGCTCGGAGAGTTGCCAGGCTGATAGCTTCCAAGCGCCACACTGTAGCAGCAATTACTTGGCAAGAAGTCAGGAACAGATCTTCACTCTAACGAATTGAACTAATTGTCTTCTGCAAAACCCCACTCCCCTTTTGATCCTCTTTTATTCCCTATGGGAGGGGCCATTCACCATCCACCTGTGGCTTTACTCCTGAGTCAGCCCTTGTTCCTTAGCTGTTCCCTTCTCCTGGCAGCTCTGTGCATGCACACACTCAGAACAGGCTCCAGCTGTTCTTCTGTCCCACTGATCTTCGACTCTGAAGGCAGCTGATAACTATCAGATGGCCCTGACCTCATCTCTGCCTCTGACACAGAGCCTTCCCCAGACTCCGGGACTGGCCCATGTTCCTCCCCAACCTCCTCACTGTTTGAGTCTGCCACCAGCTCCGCTGGCTGCTGGCTGCCCACAACAATTTCTGTCTAAACACTAATGGGGAAAAAATCATGAGAAAGGCATTTTTATGGAGTGCTATGGGAATGAAAATAATTCCCTGACATCCACCTAAATAAGCGTGTATATATTATCAATAACCAAGCCTGGGCAGGTCCGCCTTGCCCAACCACACAAAATGGAATCTTAAAATAGTATTTATGTGTTACAGCATGGTCATTGTATCAAGCACCCTATTTCTCTGAGTTGGATCACATTTTCTGCCAAATAACATTTCTATAATCTTGATGCAGGCATCGCCGATGCCACTGTTATTGCCAGCCATGTGTGGCAGCAACCCAAAAAGCTAATGGAATTCTTGGTTGAATAAACAGAGGCATAGAATCAAAATCATGTATTAGTGCCATTGTATCAAACCTTAGTAAGTCCACACTTGGAATATTGTATCCAGTTTTGGTCACCACATTACAAAAAAGCTGTTGAGAAAGAGTGCAGAGAAGAGCAACTAAGATGATAAAAGGCCTGGAGTCTAAAATATAGGAAGAACAGTTGGAGGATTTGGGTAATGGCTAGTCTAGAGAAAAGAAGGACTAGAGGCAGAGGTGATATTCAGCCAGTTCTGACAGGTTCTGGAGAATCAGTAGTAGAAATTTTGAGTAGCTTGGAGAACCGGCTAATCCCACCTCTGACTGGCCCTGCCCCCATCTATTCTTTGCCTCCCATTGAGTCCCAGCTGATCGGCTGGGTCTTCTTTGGTTGCCCTGCCCTGGAAAGCAGGTTAGTGGGGTGGTGAGGGAATGGGGATTTTATAGTATCCTTCCCCTGCCACACCCACAAGCCACACCACGCCCACCAAGCCACGCCCACAGAACCGGTAGTAAACATTTTTGAATCCCACCACTGACTAGGGGTGACATGATGGTAGTATTCCAGTACTTGAGGGGCTGCCACAAAGAAGAGGAAATCAAGCTATTCTCCAAAGCACCTGAAGGCAGGACAAGAAGCCATGGGTGGAAACAAATCAAGGAGAGAAGCAACCTGGGATTAAAGAGAAACTTCCTAAGAGGGAAGACAATTAACCAGTGGAACTGCTTGCCTCCAGAAGTTGTCAGTGATTCATCACTCTTTAAGAAGAGACTGGACAGCTACTTGTCTGGAATGGTATAAGCTCTCCTGCTTGAGCAGTGGGTTGGACTAGAAGACCTCCAAGGTCCCTTTCAGCTCTATTCTGTTCTAATCCTAATTCAACATCCAGATTTTCTTTACAGTCCTATTTTTTTCCTCTGTGGTCAATTCCTACAGAATAGAAAGCTTTATATTTAAATGAATGAATTAATCATTCAATCAATCAATCAATTTAGTGTTTTTTTAGGGGGGTGGATGATAATAATCAGCGGAAAGAGTAAGATTGGGCTCCTGAAATACAGAATGCAAGCTAAGCCAGTTCTTCTGAAGTTCAGTTGAAACAACACAAAGTATATCCAAAAGGTTTAACCTGATTAAGGAAGGTGTTCCCTCCAAGGAAACTCTACCATGGAGCACAATCAAATCACTATTTGGGGTTATAAACCCCACCGTGACTTTCTGACAAATAAACCCATTGATTTTTGCATTCAAGAGAATCCGAGTATTGCTTAGCATTTAAATAAGCAGCCGGTTGAATTTCTATAATGCAAAACATGTAGAACTGGAGATTATGGACTTGAGAATTGAGCTTAATGAACCCTGCGTGGGTTTTTTTGGGAATAAGTAATACAGAATAAATCCTTTTCCTAGAATGACAAAACACGGGGATTTTTCACCCTATCCCTAAGTGCATAATTATTGCAAAATGTTCTAAACTTCTGGTCCTATGATAACAACTGGTGATGCCACCAAAATAATGCATAAAGGTTCCCCTCGCATCTATGTGCTAGTCGTTTCTGTCTCTAGGGGGCGGTGCTCATCTCTGTTTCAAAGCCCAAGAGCCAGCGCTGTCCGAAGACGTCTCCATGGTCACATGGCCAGCATGACTAAATGCCTTTGAAGGTGCACTGAACGCTGTTCCCTTCCCACCAAAAGGGTCCCTATTTTTCTACTTGCATTTTTTACGTGCTTTCGAACTGCCAGGTTGGCAGAAACTGGGACAAGTAACGGGAGCTCACTCCATTATGCGGCGCTAGGGATTCGAACCAATAAACTGCCGAACTTTCTGATCGACAAGCTCAGCCTCCACTGAGCCTGTGTAAAACCTATATAAAAGGTAAATTATGTCAAGTTTGCCCTCTTGTGGCAGGATCATGTATATTCAGAAATGCAGCTATTTTAGTTCTGAACAGTGCTGCATATCTAACTGTATTTTTTATTTTTTTTTTGAGTGTAGCAGTGCTTCCAGAAAAAAAGTATTTTTTGCTTTATTCAGAAGATGAAGATTAAAGGTGTGGAGTTCCCCACACGTGAAAAGATAGTAAAAAAAAAAAAAACAGAATGGGATTCAACAGGTATAACAACCAGTTTGGTGCAATTTACTGTTGTGGTTTGCCGGCAACCTGTGCAGACCGCAGTGGAATCAGACAGTGGGGCAGAACAGGGTCAAGTCCAGGAGTCTGCAGAGATGGGGCCAGAACCATCTGGGAGTGAGGTCATGACTGCGGAGCCTCCGGAGTCTGGCAGCAGCGAGGCAGAGGAACAAGGGGAGTCTGTTCCCAGTGCGTGTATGCACAGAGCTGTTAGAAGGCGAGAGCAGCTGAGACAAAAGGGGTGACTTGGGAGTAAGGCTTGGGGGTGATTGGCCCTCCCATAAGGGATAAAGGAGAGGCAAAGGTAAATAAACCTTTGCAGGAAGAAAAGTCATTCATTCTGTTTGGATTAAACCTTGAAGCTCTGTGTGGACTTTGTACTTCGGTTATTTTTTTACAGTTCATTTGGCACTCTAGTTGTCAGTAGCAATTCAAAGGAGAGAAAGGTGGGTGCTTATCTCAAGGGACTGTTTGGGACTCATTACAGGCTGAGAATGAACATAATTCCCAGCATTGAAATAAAGCAAGAGTTGTTTTAACTAAGCGTGTGCTTAATTATGGTCTCAGGCAGCCTTGGTCAGAACATTTACATACTCCAGGTGTTTTGTCTACCTATCTTCTGAGAATCCTTAGTAATGTTAGTAGGAATGTTTATGGAGATTCTCAGTCATCCAGGTCATGGTTGTCCCAAAAGTGTTTCCCCACCCCACCCCCAAAAAGCCTTTTTTCTTGAAGATGTTTTGCTTTTCATCCAAGAAGCTTCTTCAGCTTCCTGGATGAAAAGCGAAACATCTTCAAGGAAAAATAAAATCCCTTTTGGGAAAAAAATAAAGAAGCACCTTTGAGACATGTTAGTAGAAATATTTTTATGTGCAAGTCTATATATTCATGTGTATGTATCATACTTATACAAAGGGCCTTCTTGGCTCTATACTCTGTCTATTTGTCTATCTGCAAACTATTTTGAATTTTTAATCAGGAAATTACAGTGTTTACTAAATAAAGGAGTTGTCAGAAGCAGGTATTTCTGGATGGAAACAACAGGATGATGTTGTAAACAACGAGAATTTTCTTAAATTTCATTTATTAATCATCTTCATTAATCCCACTGATGCTTTTATATATGTTCTTGTATTAATTAGAATATATTATTACATCTAACAAAAAAGAATAATGAAGATGTGGTTTGGTTTCCAGGAACAATGAAAAACAGAATTAGGTCAGTACGCTTCAACTAACATTTAAATCCAGGGCACGTTTAACAGGAATGACCAATAGTAGAAATCTGTTGATTTGGATTGGGAAAGAAATTACAGTAGGATCGAAGCAAACACATCCTCAGCAGAATTAAAATTTCTGCTTGCAGATATATTCAAGACTAAATAGCTCAAAGGAAGGAAGATGCATAATGGTGCATTCATTAGAGATTCCGTATCACATTTGACAATATCAAACTCTGGGGTGATACTAAAGATATTAACTAAATTTGGTCTTGAAATTTCTTGAATCACTAACTTGGCTACAAACAGATGAATGACCACTAGGTGGCAACATTAGCTTGCTGTATCTCTTTGCTGACCTCTAGTGGTGATATAGAATTTTACAGCAAACATGTAATATGTGTCCACCATCAAACTACAAGAAGAAGAAGAAGGAGGAGGAGGAGGAGGAGGAGGAGGAGGAGGAGGAGGAGGAGGAGGAGGAGGAGGAGGAGGAGGAGGAAGAAGAAGAAGAAGAAGAAGAAGAAGAAGAAGAAGAAGAAGAAGAAGAAGAAGAAGAAGAAGAAGAAGAAGAAGAAGTTGTTACACAAAATGGCAACCCGTTGCCCAAAAAAGTTCAAGAGATGCAAAAGAGATTTTGCAAAAGAAAAGGAAAAAAAAAGTTGTGAAGAGCTTAAAAGAGTCCACAATCTTTGAGGTTCTCTTTGATGATTATATCTGTTACAGCGTCAAACACAAATTTCACATTCTGAGTGTCTGTGGCACAAGTCAAGTGGGCGTAGATCTCCTTGTCTCCTTTTCTGGTGTTCAGGTCTAAAAATTGTTTCTTAATATAATTTCCAGCGTCTTCAAAAGTGTTGGGTCCTGCATGGAGAGAAACACAAAGGGGACTCTTCATAAAATGCATCGTGGTCTAGAATGCCTTGTTCTTTCTTTACCCACACAAGGTTTCTATTCCCAACACCCACCAAGAAAATGCAGATTTTGGTAGGCCTGGATTCAAAGAATCTGAATGTTGGAAAAGGGCATGAATCTATTGTGTGAATGTGATCTGTGCAGAAAAATCATATACCAAATTTACCAAATTTGTGGATGATATTAAGCTGGCAGGAATAGCCAACACTCTAGGCTCAAGATCCAGATGGATCTTGACAGACTTGAACCCTGGGCCCTATATAACAAAATGAAATTCGATGTAGAGAAAAGTAGTCTTATGCTTAGGCAAGAAAAAAAACAAAAGTACACCTATAGACTGGGTGAAACCAGGCAGTAACTATGAGAAGGATCTTGGAGTCTTAGTAGACAATTAAATATGAGCCAACAATGTGTAGCAGCAGCCAAAATAGCCAATGCAATCCTAAGTTGCATTAACAGAGGGATACAATCAAGTTCAAGTGAGGTACTAATACCACTCTATAAAGTCTTAGTAGGGCCACACCTAGAATACTGCATCCAGTTTTGATCACCACATTATAAAAAAAGATGTTGAGATACCAGAAAGAGTGCAGAGAAGAGCAACCAGGAGGATTAGGGGACTGGAAGCTAAAACATATGATGAAGGGTTGCAGGAACTGGGCTTGGCTAGTCTAGTGAAGAGAAGGACCAGAGGAGACATGAGAGAAGTCTTCCAGTATTTGAGGGACTGCCACAGAAAGGACAAGGGGTCAAGCTATTTTCTAAAGCACCTTTGAAGGCCAGACAAGGAATAATGGATGAAAACTGATCACAAAGAGATTCAACCTGGAAATAAGGAGACATTTTCTGACAGTGAGAATGATCAGCCAATGGAACAGAAGTTGCCTTTAAAAGTTGTGGGAGCTTCATCCCTGGAGGCTTTCAAGAAAAGACTGGACAGAAAAGACTGGACTCCCATCTGTCAGAAATGGTGTAGGGTCTCCTGCTTGGGTGGGGGAGTTGGACTAAATGACCTACAAGGTCCCTTCCAACTCTCTCCGTCTGTCTGTCTGTCTGTCTGTCTGTCTGTCTGTCTGTCTGAATTTTGCCCAAAGAAGAAAATTTACCATCGTATTCTGGAAAGCAGACACAAAGGTTGGTTTTAGTGATTTTTTCTTGGAAAAGGTCTTTCTTGTTGAGAAACAGCACAATAGAAGTGCTGGCAAAGCATTTGTGGTTACAGATGCTGCTGAAGAGGTTGAGACTTTCATGCATTCGATTCTACAAGAAGGAAAAAAACAAGGCGGTTGTTAGATTAATCCATTATTCCTAACTGCTCCTATGAAGAAGAACATCCAGACTATTAGCTTCTTCCAGCAAACCAGAAGGAAATATATATATATATAT